CATTAATGATAATTAGTATTGATAATGACAAATTATTAAACTGTCGTAGCCAAAACGAGGCCAAGTGGAGCATCTTATTAAAAAAAAAGTACCAAGGAATGAAAATTAAAATCGTGTGCATTACACCCAAACACCGCAACGCTCGAGTTTCAAACATAGCTGTACTGAACTTTCTTTGTAAATTGAGGGCGCCATTGAAAATGATAGTGCTCAGGCGAAATTTGATTGGCTGAATATATGGCAGCCATCTTGGATGGTACACACACACAGCTCTGCGTATTTCGAACATCGAATACATTGCGGTTAGCGCTCTAGTATTCTTATTATATCTCTATGATGTCAACTGAGTATCAGTGCCCAGTTTGTACTAAGGATATTTAAAACCAGGATTGTACTCATCAGCCACCAACACACACACACAGATAACTCATAAATATCGGACCATACTACTCAGGTGATCAAGGTCTTCTTCGAATCGAAGAACAAACAGCATTTCACAACAGAAAAGAATTAAAAGAAACATTAATTATATACACTTATAGGCAGATTAATTTTAAATAAAACTAAAATATTATATATGATTGTTATGGTTATTTTGGTTATTTATTCTCAAGTAAGAAAATCAAGAATCAAGAATATTTTATTGTCATCGAACAAATATATGCACAAAGAAATTAGTTTTGCTAGTTACTTAAAACACTAAAAATGACATAAACTTAATTAAACACAGAATATAAAAACATAATTAACATTAAGACTAAAAGATATGACAAATATGAAAATGTTGCATGAGTGAGTGGTTGCATTGACAAGTTATCAGCATTGAGTTGAATAAAATTACAAGTTTCAAGGTGTATGGCAAAAAAACAAATATACAAGGACTTAAAGTTATCTTCTGAAACTGAACCAGTGGAATGAAAATCAAATCAATCAATAAATATAAATCATAGATTAATTTGAATTACTGGCAATTATTATATTATTACTTCTTTTTCTTTTTCTTTTTTTTTGCTACAGGTTTTCTCTACTATTACTTGAACCGGGTGAAATATATCTTGAGGACTACAGCGTGTATTACTATCGCAATGATTTATCAGAGAATGAAGCAATTCAAAGGTATAGTAGCAGGGGTCCCAAGTCCAAAGAACCCAATTTTCTGGGAGATTATTTAATGACATTGGGGGCGCTATATATTCTATGATGATAAAATGTAGGTGCTAAACAAAGGGCCATGTCTACCTCAGGCCCACCATGATTGGGGCTGAGGTGATGAAATTTTTTTTAGAATAGGCACCTTTAGAAGCCGGTAATGGCACTGTCAGACTGCAAAAAATATATGACCTAGTGCACTGCTCAATTTACAACCAGAAAGACCTGCTAACTGTTAAACTGAAGGAGCTATGACCACCAATGTAAAAAGCCTATTCCACATACAGGAAGAGTGTACAACATTCTATTTTTTAGAATAGAAGATGTTGTGGAATTATTTATATAGGGGTATTCCAGAGAGAGTGATCAGCAGTTGAAAAGGGGCTCGGTCATTTGTTTATTGGAGCATTGCACAAATACTATAAACACAGCAACGAAGGAAAGTAGGCCTACCATTAATTAGCAAAAATCCTTAGTATTTCTTAATAGATCTTATTCTTAATTTAGTTATTGCACAACTGTATTGGTAATATAAATTAACCTACACTAATTATAGACCTATGTTCTTTCACCATCTACTTGTACTAAAGCCAGTTAATAATTCATTAGCTAAATCATTGCATAAAATATAGTCTGTCATTACTGTAATTAATTATAAGTGCAAGGTATAAATTCTGTAGATACTTATAGAATTATTTGTTTTAGTTGCTTAATAGATAGGTAAATAGTTATTATAGTCATAATATTTCTAGACTAGTACCATAGATAAAGTGAATTTATCGCTTTCTCCATGCTAGTACAGTAGAAGTAGTGCAAATTAAATGCCCTTGCCTAGCTATTGGCTGTACAGCAGATACCAGTAGTACTAGATTCATGATAGGCTGCAAGTCTCTTTATTATTTGATACGCAGTTCGATTAAATAGTGCCTTCATAGTGGATGCACCAGTAGTTCTATGCATACACATGTGAATGAGAAATACTAACTATAAGATTTACCTAAAGTCATCACTTAAAAAGCCAATTAAAAAATGTTTGTATTAAATTTGAATAGTATACTAAGAAAACAATAGGCTCCCAGGTAGAGCATGTGTCCAACGCTGACATAGTTATTTTTCCCTCACTTTTAACTCATAACCCATCCACGCTTTCTGTGTTAGCAATTCACGTGAATAACTATACCGGTAACATATTGTTGAATTTTTAGTTCTTTCTAGGACACGTCTTATCTTGGCTGACATCATATTTTGTATCTTTAGCTTATGACGCTTCCCATCATTCCTCCAACCGGATTTACTATCACAACTTACAAGTGAGATGATGGCTGACTACAGACCCCAGGAGCATGTAGACACAAAACAATGACAGACCTGTCTCTTATACACATCTAGATGTGTATAAGAGACAGCCTTCATTCATAGAATATCTCAGCTACAGAAGTTTGGAGATTTAAATTGAACGTAACTCCGGCAAACCATGAATTTACAATGGCTCACATATAAGGATGGCAAACATCGATAAAAACCCGGCTCCCGTCTCAACTTTGACTGGCCTTTGCCTGGATGTTTGTAAGAAATGTACCAACCGGTAACGAAACCGGTCGCCGTCTACCTAGAGTAAATGGCTCCACTAAACGAAGCTAAATTTTTGGGACTTAATCCACCAAATGTAGCTAAAGTTTTGAGATTTCATCACCTGATTCTGGACTGTGTGGTTAGTAAATTCCATAGCCATACTGTCCACAGCGCACACTAACTTATTTGCTGATGTAGCATTTTTGGGAAACTGGAGGTTTACTTAAGAATCTTAAAAAAATCTGGAGATTTACTGAAAAATCTAGAGGTTTCCAGAATTAACCAAAAGATGATGCAAGATACCAAAAAAGCCATGTCACTACAAATCATTGGCCATTCGAATTGAAAATGGCTGCTTGTTTATTGCAACGATCAAATAATCAAATTATGCATAAATCGGAGTATTTTTGCGGAGGGGGGTGGGGTGGCCTGTGAAACTGAAGATTTGTTTAAATATCAGGTGACACCCGACAGGATTGGGTGAGTTGGCAGGTCTGCAATGAAGCTGTGACAATGTACAATATTATAAATAATTTATGCCCACAGTATCTTATATTACAGATACCAACAAAAATATGTAATACCGGATCAAAAGACAATCTTTATCTCTGTATTAAACCAAAAGCAGACTACAAGAAAAGAAGTTTTACTGTACTTATCAAGGAGGAACAAAAGTCTTTAGTAGATGAAGCAAAAAATGCTGAAGACCTAAAGAGTTTCAAAAATTGTGTCAAACTTTTCCATTATGTTGTAAATAATTTTTGTTAAAATTTTACAGTTACCAGTACTTTTTTTTTTGCTTTTAAATCATTTGTTTGTTGTAGGTTTATGGACACGGCCTCTTGGAAGACCAGTCTTTGCAAAAAGACTGTAATGAGTTTCGGTGAATAAATAAAACTGTTAATTATTATTATAATTAGGTAAACTGTGTGTCAGTTAGACCAAAATTACGGTATAGGATAGCAGACTTCATTCAAAAATATCCTGGTGTGTCTATGCAGGATTTGAACTCTGACCCCTAGGATTGGGATGGTAGGCAGGCAAAGGAGTGGACATATTACTTAGTGGTTAAACTACAAACTAATATGTCTACTCCTGTGTTTACCTTTCCATTCTCCCAAGTAGTTTCCACTTGAAAGTGGATTATTTATTCAATGAATTATCTAATTGAACCATGCTACTATAGTATATAGATGAGTGTCAACTGAAATATTATTTTGATAGTTAAGTGTTGATCATGGAGGAATTTTTTTTCTTCATGGTTAGATCTGTAGACTAAATAGCAGTGTTAATGATCTCATTCAAATTCAAATTAAATTCAATGATAATATGATTGTGTTAACACCGCCAGTTATGCAGAATAATTTCCGAACATGCCCTGGGAGTTCCAAGATTTTTCCTATAAAAATGTATCTAATTCGAATATGAACACCCATTAGAAAAAGAAGGACATTGTATGCTTAATGTAAATTGTTCTGCGAACACGCATTAAAGGCATGTCTGACACAGTGACAGTTCATCGATATTTATATCATTAATTTAAAATGTGTATTGTCCCCTGAAAATGACAAAAAAATCAACCTAGTTTTAAACAAGGACTTTTTTTACACAGTAAAAATTCTTAGTACTGTATAAAGATGTTATAAAAATATAAAAAAAAAAAAAATAAATTAACTAAAAATAATTTTGAAATTAAATTGCATACAAATGCATGAGCATAGAAATAATTATATAAAAATATGTGCTCTGATTTTTATAATGGATAATGAGTAGGTTTTAGTTTTTTAGGGCTACATCAACTTTTTTAAAAATGTCAAACTCAAAGAGCTCTGTCACCAAGCGCATAGAGGCTTTTTTGCATAATGACAAATTCAGCTTTTGTTATAATTATAAAATATATAATAAAAACAAAAATGAGACTTAGTTTTGTGTGCAAAATTTACAAGACAGTGTCCATGTAGACACATGCCAACATCCGAAGAGATAAGACGAAAATGACTTTAAAAAAAATTGAATAAAATTAGAAAAAACTTAATTTCTTAGATTTTTATATTTTTGGTCAATTCTTAATATATTTAACTATGACAAATGTGCGTTCCATCCATGTAGCTATCATATTTTTGGCACATTTTTGGTGCTGAAGGAAGGGGGGGGGGGGGGTGTGGGAAGGTGAAGTGAGGAGTCTCGGTGATCAGTTGAGGGCTGTAATTCGAAAAGTAAGGTGATTTTAGGTGATTTTTAACTACTTGACCGTGATTTATGGGGGGAGGCAACTGGTGGGCGGGAGTAAATTTTAGGGGGAATGTGCCCCTCGCACACCCCCTAGATATGCTACTGCTATCAAGGTAGTGCGTCGCCAGCATTTCAGCCAGGCCAATAGAAACATTGCAAGGGCTGTACATTATAGTGGTATAATCCTTCTTTACCACAGCAAGATTTTAGCATTTAGGATGTTCATTTTTTTCTTTTTAAAATGCAATCACAATGATCACTGTGTCAAAGCAGACTGGAAATGGATTAATTTCCCAACCTCAAAGTCGGGGTGTTTCACTCCTTTGTTGTTCATTTTGCTTGTGTCCTTGAGCAAGGCACTTTATCTACAGTAGGCTTCAGTGTACCCAACTATATCAATGGGTAGAGCATAGCCTACTCAAGCAAATTGCTTGGAGAAACCTGCAGTGGACCAGCATCCCATTCAGGTGGAGCATCTTCCAGCATCACACTCTTATACTTGAAACTATAGATATACTCCACCGCCTGTGATGATCTATGGTTAGGTGTCATTTGAGGTCATCATATTTTTAGTGTGATGACCTCAAGTGGCATCTAACCTTAGGGGGTAAATGCTTGTCAATGTCTCAGTGGAAAAATTTCCTCCTGATCCCCTCTCCGCTGGTGCCACCATCAAGGGGCAGTACAATAGTGTATGCTGTGTGGAGCAGGGTTAAGGCCTGCATCTTCCAATTAATAGGTTGGGGGTTCAATGGTCGTCTCGCTGTTCGTATCCTCTTGTAAGACACTACATTTGCCTCTTTTCACTTAGGAATATGTATGAGTACCCAGTAGCCTGGAGATAAATGATCTGGAAGGAGTAGCATTTAATTACATAATCAATACTGTAAATGTTCAAATAAACGTCGTAGCGCTATAGAATTTTTAGATGCTTTAGTGTGACACTTATTCGAGAGCGCCGCTAATACATAAAATATTGGCGTTGCGCTTTCCACGCCCTTTCCCATGTTACCTATCTCAATTATTCCTGTATTCAGTAGGGGCCTACCATAGGTCCTATGACATCGTAAATAAACATTTATAAATACTTCATTGGGTGATTTATTCATTTTAACACTAATTACATTGTACATAAAACCTTGTTTCTCAAAGTGTTTCATTACACAAAAGGTACTATATATACTCTTGATTAAGCACTACAGCACTTATTCGAGAGCAGCACTTAGCAGAAAAAAAATTTGGTGCCGCGCTTATTCGAGAGCAGCGCTTATTTGAGCATTTACGGTACTTCCCAGAGAGCAGAGGACGTTGATTCTATACCAAGGAAACAAAGTGCCTTGAAAAGTTCTTTCAGACAATTAATCTGTGATATGAATTCTTAATAAATAAGTTTGATAAATCAATATCTTTTTGAAATTGAAGAAAACAACAATGAATAGCCATTTATAATGAAAATAAGTTTTGTTCTTTAAATAGTGTTTTCTCTCATATAATTTAAATAATAATCTAATAAATTATAATAATTAAAATACAGGTTGATTAAATAGTAGATTTGCCAGATGTTTGTCAGACCCAACAGACAGTTTTCATAGCATTGACTAGATTATGTGGATGTGCATCATATTGAAAATGTAAATGTTGGAATTTGCCATATTTCTAATTGTAATATGGTATAAAGATTATTAATTAATGAAATGGATCAGACTTTTATAAATCCTTTCAGATCGTGAAAGACAGCTACTGTACACAGACCAGGGAGTCGTATATAACAACTCCCAGCTCAGATCAGATCTTATGCATTAACTGTAATGACAGGGGCACTAGTCTTTTACATACTTAAAATCGGTTGCAGGTCATCCATGACAATAATTAAGCAATAGGGATTTTTCAAGTGCAAAGACTGCCATACTGTAGATAATTACCATATTGAGAATGTAAATGTTAGCATTGATGATAAAGATACCATATTTCTAACATGATTTATGGTATTATGAAGATTAATTTAATTGAAATTGTTCAAATTGAATCTGTTTTTAATGACACCTTGAAAAATAATTACCTTTTATGACAAGACCTTATGTGTAAACATAATATTATGACAAAGCACTTTTGATGAGTTAGAGGTCGTATTCTTGGTGATTTAGCAATAGTACAGTCTGAACTACAGTTTAGAATGATATCGAAAAAAAAAGCATGCGTTTTCCGCTTAATTCTCAAATAACCTATAAAATCCACTTTAATGATTGCCGTATATCAAGTTAAATTACAAGCTTTACGTTCTTCAAGGTTTATACACATCAAAATATTACCATCCCAACTGATCGGAGCTATGGGGTCATTTGGGCCAGACTGCAGTATGCAGTGCCATAAGATGCTTACTATTTCTTCCTTATAAACAAATATCTTTAGCTTCCCAGTATATCCCAGACCTATTAATCTTGGGTAGAGAGAGGCAAACATAAAGTGTCCTGCCCAAGGATAAAAGCCAAATACATTTTACGGGATTTTGAACTCTGAAACTCAAGGCTGAGATTCAAAGCCACGGCGACTGCTCCAACCACGCAGACGTGATTTACGAAATACATACAAACCTACTCACCATAAAACATCAAACAAACAAAAATGGTTGTTAAAATATAAAGATAAATGTACCAACTTTGTGTATGCTTAGTTTTTAATGCATAACAAACCTCATTACATTAAAGACAATAAAGAATATCTGAATCTGAAAATGGAAGTTTTCGGGGTATTGCACTTTAATGTACTATAGTACCCTTTAGTTGTACTTCAGTAAATGCAAAATACAACTTTTAACCGGGACATAAAAAGATGTAAGTTACTATCAAACTCATTCTGCGTAAAGTTGAATCACTTTCAGAATACAGTAATACATAAAAATAGCCAGACCTCATATCAGGCGTCACAAGTTTCCTGCAGGTCTCGAGAATCTCCCAGAAATTGGGAAGGTCTTTAACATGTGTATGCTCAAATCTCTTGTGTAAATCATTTAAATTTTTATGTTTATTTAATCTGAATTTAATCATTCAACTTTTTTTTCATATGTTTTTGTCATCATTAATTTATGTAATATGGACTATGATAATTTAAATGTTTATCTCACTGCAATGACAGGAAAGTCCGAGGTCGTCTAAAAGTGTGTTCCAAATCCATCGTCTTTACGCCGCAAGATTCTCGTTATCCTATTGTAAAGGTATATTGTTTCAAATGCTAATACGCAATTCACACAAGATAAAATATTACATGGGGTGTGTGTTTAATGCTGTACAATATTCTTACACACGGCTAAATGTATACCTCCGTGAATATTAAATATTACCAAGATTGTTACAGGTACTAGAACTGTCGGTCTTAACACGAATGCTACATTAGAACCTATCGTCTAATCTAGATATATACATTCTCATGGACTGAATATGACAGGGGGTACTAAATTTACGTTATCGCAGGGTATGTGTTAACATTCTATATCATTGTGAATATGGTGTTAGTACTGTACTTGAATGACAATTTAGTGCTCAAAACCTTCAGGGCTCTGATTATCTATTACACAAGCATTATAATGACATTATTAATATATTATTATTATTTGTTTTAGTTACATCATGTGACATCTTTAATTGGATATCAAATTATTAAATATTATTATTGCTGCTATTATTATTACTGTTATTATTATTAACATTAATGACTATCATTTTAATGTGTTGTAAATATTATTATTAATAATAAATATATGATACATTAATTTATTTCCAGTTTTAGTATTCTAAATATTTTTTATATTGCAGACAAACTGGCTAGTACCATTAAAAAAAAAATTATGACATAATTACAGAATGTCTGATTTAAAAGACAATTTAAAAAAAGAAAAAAAATTATGATAATCCTCTCTAATTGCGCATTTTTCATTCCTCTTTTATTCTTTTATGTTTGTCAATTATAATATGGTAATAATAAATATAATATTTTTAAACATTATATAACATTATGCAAATGATTTACCATTTCAGTTTATACTTAGAAACTGTGACAGAATTTCTCGTTGGACTGGCGCCCTTCTTTCAAAGTAAGCTATTTTAATGATTAATTTGATATGCATCGTTTCTAAGTATCTTTCAATTCCCAGAAAAACATAATGTGCTTTTTCGGTACTAGAAAGTTTTTTTAAAATGTTGATTGCCCTGTAAATTTTATGACCGTGTCATTTGAACAGTATGGTATAGATAATTGCCACGCGATCAAAATGTTATACTGTACGTATGTTTAAGGTGTTTGACAGCGTATTCTGTAGTAATTGTCAAAACTGTTTAATTTGCACCCCACATACTTTATGACCTGCATTTCTCCTTCCTCTACATCCTCTGCTGATAGTAATACAAAATTGGACTTGGAATGTCAGGGAAATGCCCTTGAATTTTACTAGTCTGTAGGCTGTTTTATGACGTAGTTTTCACACTCGTGTATGTAGTACGCTAAATCTGGGCACACGCTGCATTATGTGACAGTCAGCTGTCAATTCCTTTAACGCACTCTGCGAGTCCTTGATGACGCGACACCGTCTACAAATCAATGGTAGACTGAACAGATTGATATTAGAACGCTACGACCGTATCAATATGTGGCCAGCGTAACTGTCAGTGAGCGTGTAAAGATCTGCATTGGACTCGTATTTCATGGCAGTCAATTATAACATAAAGGGCTCACTTTCAACTTGGTAGAGTAACTCATTAGTCGCAGCTCTATAACTAAATACTAAATCACAGTGCAGCATTTCCCTTCGTAATATAATAGAAAAAGTAGAATCCTTTTGCAATTCAACAGTAGTGTGTGTTTGATTTTAGAATTTACAAGCAGAAATTAGTTTGGGGCTAAGGTTTGTTAGTACCATGCTTATTGATGTAATCAATCATATTAATGACTCTAGTAAATATGTATAATTATTAACAGTGCCAGCATTTTATAGGTTAATCATGAATATGATATGAGGGTACCTCCAGTAAGTAAGACTTTCCATGGTATCACATGATGTTATTTATTTATTTTTGCTAAATTTTATATATTTATTTGTATTAATTCAATAATTTATATAGTTTGTTTTGTTTATTTTATAGAAATATAAAAACTGCATAAACATTAACATTAATATTCATTAATGAATTATTAATACACATAAATTATATTTTTGCAGACTTGGTAATAATGTTATAGCCATAGAATCCAGGCAGACAGTAGAAATGAAACATGATGATGTAATAGGACCATACCATTTTAATAAGGTAAGGATTTTATTAATTAATAAGCTTAGGTAACTTATAGTAATAGGGTTTTTATGTCATGTTCATTTTTATCATCATTGTATGTATAATGTATATGTATTTTGGTAGTGCTGAATTTTACTCATAACTAGAAGTACACCCCAAGAGTTTACATGCTGTATATGATTGAATCTCTAAAAAATTTAAAAAAAAGTGCTTGGACAGTTTTTATTGTTAATTATGAATTTTCCTTCAAATATTTGTCTGTTTCAGGAAAATAGCAAATATATGTTCTCCCTCAACTTCGTCTCTCCTGAGAAGGTTCTACCACAGATGTGCCAACTTCATCGGGCCTCGCAGCTCACGCCGGCAGATCAGAATGCAATGGTAAGCGATGCGTATCAAAGTGAAGTGCTGCTGTAGTTTGCTGATTAAGGTTGCTTTCCAATCTCGGGTTTTTTCTTTAATTCTCCGAAGTTGTTTTAAGATCACTCGCATAAATGTACTTTTTTAAGCCTGGTAATGATTGGAATTTTTTGGTCAAACTAGCCACGTACAGTACATCAGGGATCCCAAGTCTCCCGGAACTCGCGGGAGTCTCCTGGAAATCGGGACGGTCTCCTGCAATCCCGCAAGCAAGCAAGAATCTCCCGGAAATTAACCAATCCCCCCTCCAAATTTTTCAAAATAAAAAAAAATGGAGAGAAAAAGATAATAATATTCAAATTAAAGTGTGAGGGTGTCATTCCCGACCATCTATTTTCTTACCTAAGCCCAAACCATGGTGGGGATGAGATAGTATAGACTACATCTGTAAAAAGCTCCTCCCTTCCCCCACTCCCATTGCGAATTCTCGGATCTGTTACTGCAAATCTACCGGACAAAGTGGCCAACGAGGGGGGACTATGTCCTCAACGGGAGCAAAATGGATGGAGTTTCTCAATTCAATTTATCTCGAGTGTGTCACAGGGGTTATTTAATTGATTTAATTAAAGGTCTACTAATATGCGGTATATATCATTTTACATATAATTGTACCCTCCGCCCCCCTCCCCCACCATTTTGACAAAAAAATATTCCAGTTTGAATAGCTTGCATAATACTGTCTAGGCAAGGACTCAAGTTCATGCTCAAAAAAATATTTAGACTGTTTTTCCTGAGAAAAACAAATGCATGCAGTGGTATTTTATATAATAGACAATTCTATAAAGAATTTTAACCCATTGTTGGCTCTTCTACATTCAAATACTTGCTCTGGTTGTGCGTCGGCCATTTGCATGGTAAATAGTATTTATCCTTGGAGTGCAGGTAACGCAAATTGCATACGGTATTTATGTTCAGGTGTGAGCATCAGTATGGTTTAGCAAGTTAAAGTTACCTTTTTTTTGTAAGTTATCCAATGTGAATTCATCACCTTCCGGTATCGTGCATAACCTCTATATAGAGTGTACTGACACGAGTGAATTAATCAATCAATCAATCAATCAATCAATCAATCAATCAATCAATCAATCAATCAATTTCTTCCCCTAGGTATCGACCATTATTCAGTCTCTACAAAACAGGGTCAGTTTCGATACCAGTTGGCTTGGCAACCTGTACGAACAACTCGTCATGGAAACAAGCTGTGATCGAATCTCTCCCCTTGTTGTGAACCCTGGTCGAATTATGCTGACCTCATCACGACTCTACTTTCAGCCGTTTAATAACCTAGAACCAGTAAGTTAAAAGAATTTTCTGTTTAGTTAGTTTAAATATACAGTTTGCCCGTTTATTTCGAGAACACCTTTTAGACCTGAATATTTGGGATGGTCCCAGGATTTGGTTAAAGATTAAAGATTGTGAGTTTGTACCTTGAAAAATTGTTCTTGAATTAGAGGGGTCTCGGAATTAAAGGCTTCTTGAGTTGGAGGGTGCCCTGTACTGTGTATTTAAGGACATTTATGTATAATATAGACACATTATATTTCAAACAAAAAAAAAAACTTAAAAATGTTAGTTATACTGAAGATGAAGTATATACCTTTCTGAAATATGTGTTAACTATTCAGACTTGATTCTAATTTGAATTTTTATATCATCAATTCCATGTCAAATAATAATAATAACCACACTGATAAGATTAATCTTCATAAAAATACACAAGAAACAATTTTTATTACAGCTCTAGAAAACTATTCTTATTCCTGAAACTAGTAGAGTCTTTAGCTACTGACTTTGAGGATTTATACATGTGTTTTACTACTTTTATTCCTATGTAAGACGATGCTTTGTAAATTTCTATATTGTTGTTTACCAGTACTGTAATTCTTATCAATTTTATGACACTTTGTTATGATTCTCTTTTAAGTTTTTTCTAACTGTTTTTTTTATTTTTTTTTATTTTTAGGATCCAGTCACGAAGATTAATTTATCACAAATGAAGCGAATCGTAAAACGTAGATTTTTACTACGGCAGGTGGTAAGTATTTAATTTGGTTTGCAAACTTCGGTATAATTTACCGTCTCGATATATTTATCTTGTGATTGTTTAATGATTTAGTTGGGACTTAAACTTCTGATTTAATGGATAGTGAGTATGAATTCCTGGAAAAAGCTATCATAAAGATTAACTTAAATGTCATTTTTGACCTTTCCTCTGATTCAGTTATATTTGTGATACTGATAAAATGCGATGTGTGTGTAGCACTCTACGTAATCTCAGACCGCTTAACGAGTCATATGCTACTATTTTTTTTTCAAATGTCTGTAGTGACATTGACGTTAGTTTATGTATCAGATAAACGGGTGCTACATTTTTCTTATTATATTAACTTGATTTATTTATTTGAAAAATAAATTAATTTTAAGGTTCTTTCATCACTTTGATTAAGTAATGTAATTAATTTTTTTTAAATATTTCCTTTCTTGTCAATACATTTCTTAGATTTTTTTTCTTTTCTTTGCTTTTCCTTTCTTTTCTTGTTTCCTGTCTATCTTTTCCTTTACTTTCCTATATTGTCTTTCTTTACATTTTCTTTCATACTTTTTATTTCTTTTATCTCTCCATTTTTCCCTTTTTTCCATTTCTATTACATTTCCTTTTTTGTTCCTTTCTTTTCCTTCCTTTCTTTTCCTTTTCTTGACTTATATTTTTCTATCTTTATCACATTTCTTATTTTTGCCTTTCTCTTTCTTTACCTTTTCCTTTTTTTTTTCTTTTCCTTCTATATCTTTCAATGTCTGTTTAGTTTCTGTATAGAGACATTGAAATTAGTTTGTGTATCAGTGAGTCAGTTATTTCCTATAGCCATCACCAATATGGATATTTCAAAATTTTTTTAACGTTTTAATTGCGATTTATAAGATTTTACAGTCACTAACTCCAAAATATATATCTCCAAAATGAAGTAAATTCAAAACTATATTCAGTTATAAAAAGAATGAAATACAACCATTTCAAGGACAAGACAAACACAAGCAGAAATCGTTAATACTCCTTTAAATAGTTGAATTCTTCCTCCCCATCCCTGTATATTAGTTTATGGACATTGATATTTGCCTAAAATAATGAATAATGTGATTATTTAGAAAGTCTTACTTGTTTGTATCTAGTAGTTTTACATTTATTTTTACAACTATATTTTATGATCTTTATGTTTTGCTTCAGACTAAATTCTTAAAATATTATTTATGTATATGGGGCTTGCCATGCCAAAGTCAGCATCAGTGACATATAAACATGAATATTGACTTTTTAATATATTCATATTCTCCAAATTCATAAGCTTTAAAATGATAGGTGATTTACTGGAATTGACTGACTATTGCCAATGTTATGAATAAAAGTATTACAGCTTCTCTGGGGTGCAGGTCAACTCGGTCACAAGTCAACTCGGCCAGAGTCAACTCGGCCACAAGTCAACTCGGTTGAGTTGACTGTGGCCGAGTTGACTTGTGGCCGAGTTGGATCGAATTCCTTCTCTGTACAGACTTTACTAAAGTACACAATACTTCCACATTCTTATGCTAATTACTCAGTTTAAAAATTAGCGATAGCACACTGGTTTTGGGATGGCAATCCTCGTACATTCTACTTCAGTCATAATCACTTATGTTTTGCTTTTTTCACACAGGGCTTAGAGATATTTTGTTCCAAAGATTCTTTAATAGCTGACATGTTTATAGTTCTTCCATCACCAGTAGAACGAGATCAACTTTACAATAAGATGATAGAGCAAGATGGTATGTTTTTGTTCTAGACGCTCGCTTTAGCTCATTAGTTGATTTAGTTTAATTCATGAACTGGATCTGGAGTAAAACACACCAAGTTATACTGACAGTCTTATGTACCAGATAAGTTATTTGAGTGAATACAAGCTAACTCGTACCCACAATTCGTACCCAAATTTTGGCTGCATTGTACCATCATTTTGGCTGTCTCATACCCATAGTTGGCCAGCCCGTACCTAAGTTTGCTGTATGATCTTACCTTGTATTTCAAACATTATTATCTATTTTGATAGCACTAATCATGTTAAACTATATTATTCAAGACAAACTTACTAATTAGAAGATTTTGATAAAGCAGGAATGAAATGTTGTGATCGTTGAGAGAATAATAAGGGAGCACTATTACAGTAGTTGTTAATAGTGTCAGAGCCGTAGATAGGCACTTAAGCTTAGTGCAATTTGTGCAAATTAAGAAGCATTTAAAAAAAAATAGATTTCGTTTTGGATGACAAATGTAGTATATAGTAAGAAGTATTTAATATTAGATTTTTTATTTTTTTTTCATTATAAAGCCAAAATAGGTACGAATAGACATGGGTACAAGTTAGTCAATGTTTTTTGGCCGGGTACGGTTTCTCTAAAGTGGGTACGAGTTAGCCTACACCCATTTGATTAATGCTGATGATACTATTTCTTATTAATTTTGTTTGTATATAGATGTAAGTTTGATGGAGAATGATAAGCAAAATATGCTTTTGAAATGGCAAAGTGGGAGTGTATCCAATCTTGATTATCTGCTATATCTAAACAGGTATTTACATAATGTATGGATTTTTCTTCTATTATATTTTCATTCATTCACAATCAATTAACTGTATAGGTCTCCCTCCAATTAAAGGACACTGGGGTTTCCATGGTCTATGGTTGGCCGGTTGGCGCATGGTCTCTCAACATTGATGTCGGGAGTTTGAACACCACGCCGCTGTCCATTGGCTTGTGTCCTTAGGCAAGACACTCTATCCACATTGTCTCTCTCCACCCAGGTGTATAAATGGGAACCTGGTAGGCATTATTTCAATTATGCGCTGACTACAGTGGCAGTTGTGTAGTATGTTCCACAGGGGGTAATAATGGAACATAGGTACTTAGTGATATGCGCTATATAAGAATCCATTTATTTATTATGTAGCAGCTTTGGTCTCTAATTAGAATAATAAAATAAAACACAGTTGTTCATTTGGAACCACAGAAAAGTGGTCATTAAAGTAGTCTTTAATTGGAGGGGTCTTTTTATTAGAGGGAGGGCTGTATACTGATAATAATCAACATTAATATTTTCTAAGCCCTATTTTTGGTGTGGACTTATTTTGACAAACTAAAAATGTTCCGGGTCAGAATAACAAATAAAAAAATAACCAGTAGAAAACAGATTGGTAGGGTTCCTCTTAGACAAATTACTCAAACTTATTCTAAATAGTTTTTTAATTAATGTGTTATAAGTTGATACTTATGCATAGATTTGCATGTCTCTTAAAATGACTTGGAAAGGCAGAACTGTCTGGTTTAGTGTGAGCCGGTTGGTTAGCACCTCACTTGAGTAAGTGTCTCATTCAAATAGGCGCATGTATTACTATACATAGGCACTCAAATATGTGCCATGCAAGTTTATTCAAATAAATCTGTCCATTTTATCAAGTTACAGTATATGTGAAAATATGCATGAATTACCCATAGAGGTATGACCGTGTCACCCATATATGGAAATGTTGGTGTAATATCACATTCATATACAGTAATATAGGCAAATCACATTTTTTTTTTCAGTGAAGCAGATCGCAGCTTTAATGATTTTACGCAATACCCAGTCTTTCCATGGATAATAGCAGACTACACCAGTCCAACCCTTGACCTGAATGATCCTAAAACATTCCGTGATTTGAGTAAACCAATAGGAGCTCTAGATGCAAAGAGGTTAGCAAGATTTAAGGTAGGTTATTTGTTAGTAGATTAAAATTCTGGTTACAACCAGGTCTGGTCACAATATTATATAATTGATATATATATATATATATATATATATATATACAGTGTCTACAATCTAAAATAATATAAGAGAAAATTTGTAAATAATAAGTTAATCTGAATTCCTATAACTATAATGTCTTCTTTCTTATAACAGCTAAGTTTTAATAATAAATTAAACTGTTAAATCGTTATACATATATATACCTATATAGATATACCTATATACTCATACATATATATAAACATTTACATACCATACACACATATACATACAT